TGCCGCGAACGGGACCGTGCAATACCCCTCGGCGGCTCCCCTTAGGGACGTGAAAATGAGCGCATCGCTCGAGACATCCTCCAAAACTGCTCCGAAAGCAAAGGATTTTGGGACAGAAGACGAGCAAACCGCTTGAGACATCCCCACAAAACGGCCGCGAACGGGACCGTGCAAAACCCCTCGGCGGCTCCCCTCAGGGACGTGAAAATGAACGCCTCGCTCGAGACATCCTCCGAAGCTGCTCCGAAAGCGAAGGATGTTGGGACAGACAACAGGCAAACCGCTTGAGACATCTCCACAAAACGGCCGCGAACGGGACCGTGCAATAAATACCCTTCGGCGGCTCCCCTTAGGGACGTGAAACTGAGCGCCTCGCTCGAGACATCCTCCAAAACTGCCCCGAAAGCGAAGGATGTTGGGACAGAAAGCAGGCAAACCGCTTGAGACATCCCCACAAAACGGCCGCGAACGGGACCGTGCAATACCCTTCGGCGGCTTTCCGTAGGGACGTGAAAATGAGCGCCTCGCTCGAGACATCCTTCAAATCTGCTCCGAAAGCGAAGGATGTTGGGACAGAAAACAGGCAAACCGCTTGAGACATCCCCACAAAACGGCCGCGAACGGGGCGTGCGTGAGTCTCAGCATGAGTAAGTCTGAGTAGGAGTAGGTCTGAGTATGAGTAGTTCTGAATATGAGTAATTTTGTGTCTGAGTAAGTCTGGGTATGAGTGAATATGAGAGTACATCTGTGTATGAGTAAGTCTGGGTAAGAGGAGGAGAAGAAGGAGAAGGCGAAGAGGGAGCAGGAGAAGGAGGAGAAGCCGGAGGCGTCCAAGTAATTATTCACTGCGGGGAGATCCCCATATGTGCATCTTCTTACAAGGAGAATTGTCAGTGGGATCTGGGAAAGAGCGTCGAGCCATGCAACGCAACATGCGAATATCATGTTGAGACATCCCCACAGAACGGCCACGAACGGAGCCTTGAAAACACCCTTAGCGGCTCCCCCTAGGGGTGCTGAAACCAGCGCCCCGCCTGAGACATCCGCACAATCTAGGATGTTGAGACAAAACAATCAAACCGCTTGAGACATCCCCACAAAAAACGGCCGCGAAAGGGTCCGTGAAATCACCCCTGGCGGCTCCCAGTAGGGGTGCTGAAACCAGCGCCCCACAATTCTGAGTATGAGTTAGTCTGGGTATGAGTGAGTCTCAGCATGAGTAAGTCTGAATAGGACTAGATCTGAGTATGAGTAGGTCTGAGTATGAGTAAGCTTGTGTCTATTCGCATGGACCTGTCCGCCGTGAATGTCTAGGCGCAAGAGCTTTCGAATATAAACGGGCTTCAGTTGTGACGGTTTGGTCATGAATCTAATTGAGAATGAATTGGAGTGTGAATGAGCCTCAGTAGTACGAGCGCGTCTCTGCGCATGAGCCTGGGTCCTCTTGGGGGCCTCCTGGGGCCTCCTGAAACCTACTGGGGCTTCCTGTGGCCTCCAGGAGCCTCTTGGGGCCTCCTGGGGCCTCCTGGGACCTCCTAGGGAGGATTCGTGCCCAGGAGAGGCCCAATGTATAGCAACATAATCACCTAAAACAGTACGGATTGGAGCCACAGGAGAAGGGGGCAATCTATAGGAACACACGTAAACACCAAGGGCTCGAGCCCCAGGAGAGGCCCTATAGGAACATAAGTACACAGCGGAAGGACAATCTATATAAGCATACGTATAACATCAAGGATTCGTGCTCCAGGTGAGGCCCAATATATAGGAGCATACGTCAAACACATGGGATGGGAGCCACTCGTATTGCCTTCTGAGGCCTCCTGCCCCTGGGGCCTCTCGGGGCCTCCTGTTGCCTTCCGAGGCCTCCTGGCGCTGGCCTCCTGGGGCCTCCTGTGGCTTCCTGAGGCCTCCCGGAGCTTCCTGTGACCTCCTAGAGCCTCTTGGGACATCCTGTGGCCTCTTGAGTCTTTCTGTAGCCTCCTAATGCCTCCTGGGACCTCATGTGGTCTCCTGAGGCCTCCTGGAGCCGGTTGGAGCTTCCTGTGGCATCCTGAGGAGAATCTGTGCCCACGAGTCTGGCTGCCGATCGAGACATCCTCAAAATCTGGCCCACCTGAAGGTTGAAAATGAGCGCCTCGCTCGAGACATCCTCCAAATCTGCTCCGAAAGCGAAGGATGTTGGGACAGACAACAGGCAAACCGCTTGAGACATCTCCACAAAACGGCCGCAAACGGGACCGTGCAACACCCCTCGGCGGCCCCCTGAGGGACGTGAAAATGAGCGCCTCGCTCGAGACATCCTCCAAATCTGCTCCGAAAGCGAAGGATGTTGGGACAGAAAACATGCAAACCGCTTGAGACATCCCCACAAAACGGCCGCGAACGGGACCGTGCAATACCCGTCGGCGGCTCCCCTTAGGAACGTGAAAATGAGCGCCTCGCTCGAGACATCCTCCAACTCTGCTCCGAAAGCGAAGGATGTTGGAACAGAAAGCAGGCAAACCGCTTGAGACATCCCCACAAAACGGCCGCGAACGGGACCGTGCAATGCCCCTCTCGGCGGCTCCCCTTAGGGACGTGAAATGAGCGCCTCGCTCGAGACATCCTCCAAATCTGAGCGAAGGATGTTGGGACAGAAAGCAGGCAAACCGCTTGAGACATCCCCACGAAACGGCCGCGAACGGGACCGTGCAATGCCCCTCGGCGGCTCCCCTTAGGGACGTGAAAGTGAGCGCCTCGCTCGAGACATCCTCCAAATCTGCTCCGAAAGCGAAGGATGCTGGGACAAACAACATGCAAACCGCATGAGACATCCCCACAAAACGGTCGCGAACGGGGCGTGCGTGAGTCTCAGCATGAGTAAGTCTGCGTAGGAGTAGGTCTGAGTTTGAGTAGGTCTGAGTATGAGAAATTTTGTGTCTGAGTAAGTCTGGGCATGAGTAAATCTGAGTGTGAGTAAGTCTGGGTATGAGGAGGAGAAGAAGGAGGAGAAGGAGAAGGAGGAGAAGTATGAGGCGTCCAAGTAATAACAAGAGCCCCCATCTTAGGATATGGGGAATCTCAAGAACCCCATCTTAGGATATGGGGAAAACAAGAACCCCATCTTAGGATATGGGGAAAAACATTCAGCCTCACAGGTGTCTCCCCCGAAACCGTGTGGGAAGAACCATCTGTAAATTTGGGACTGGGGGCCAACATGAGGCCATTCAGCCTCACAAAAACAACGGGCGACGCGTGCCACCCCCCCGAAAACGAAACGCGTCAGAAAAACAAACAAATGCAATGTTGGCATTCTGGGAGCCAACGGAAGTCCAGTCAGCCTCACACAAGCAAGGGGTGACACGTGTCACAAATTTGGGAGATCTTGGGAGCCACCACAAGGCCATCCAGCCTCACAAAAACAATGTGTGGCACGGGTCACCCCCGAAACAGTCTGAGAAGAACCAATCATAATTTTGAGATTCTGGGCGACAAGGGCCACCCCCCGAAACCGTGTGAGAAAAACGGATAGTAAAGTTGGTATTCTGGACGTAATGCTTTTCAGCCTTACAAAAATAACTGGTGACACGTGTCACCCCCAAAACTTTGAGAAAATCAATTGTAAATCTGGGACCCTGGGAGCCAACTTGAGGCCATTCAACCTCGCAAAACCAGCGGGTGACACGTGTCACCCCCGAAACTGCGTGAGAAGAACAACTGCTATGTTTGGGTTCTGGGAGCCAGCATAGGGCCTCGAACAAAAAGCAGCGGGTGACACGCGTCTCCCCCGAAACCGTGTAGGGAAAACAGTAATAATTTTATGGTTCCACGGGCCAACATAAGGCCATCCAGCCGCGCAACAACAACGAGCGTCACGCGCCACCCCCTAAACCGCGTGAGAAAAAAAGAGTTGTAAATTTGGGACTATGACAGATGAGGCGTTCTGGCGTTCCAGAAAGGGCTTTTTTCCTTCGAGGATCGAAAGGGTTGCCATCTCTTCCTCTGCGGAAGGCGGCGGAAGTAAGACGGCGGCGGCTCGGCCGGCTGACGTTGGCGGAAGTAAATCGCGTCCCTCCAAGAGATGACAGCACTTTTTGGGTTCAGGGATTCCGGAACCCGCCAGGCGTGGACGGTGCAGGCGGGGGCAGAGAGACAAGCTTCTTGGGCCGTCGCGTACTCGCTCCCGCTGGAGCTGCCGCTTGCAGTCGTCCGGCTGTGGGCAGCGCTGTGAGTTCCCGGTCGACAAACGTGGCCCAGAAGACCCAGGTCTTCATGTCCTCCTTCGGGGTAAGTTTCGTTCGTGCCAACCGTGCTGCTCGCACCTCTCTCGGAGTAGCCTGCTTGGGCATGAAGCATCGCGCGGGCTCGCATGCTTTCGCAATCAGATAGTTGCGCTTCTACCAACGCGACGCCATTCATTTTTGGCTGAAATCGTTTATGTTTTGTTTGGCGTTTTGTCGCCGAAAGCTTCGCCAGTAGAATGTCATTACTGAGGTAACGACCGAGTGTGGTGAGGAGGCTCACGGAGTGAGCGGCCGTGGCCGCCCCGCGCAGGCTGCTATTTAGCCGGCCCCGTCCCCTTGCAGGGACTACTCGCGCGTCGCTCGTTCGTTCGTTCGGGGTACCGGCCGTGATCAGACGGGGCTAGGACGAGGGCAAAGCCGTCCCAGGGCGATGCGGAACGCTCCCTGAGCGTTCCGGTTCGCTCCGAGAAGGCAGCGACGCCCGATCCGTCCTCCAGAGCCGCCGGGTCTCAGAGATTTTCGATGTATCTCAGGAGGAGGAAAACACACAGACACAATTAATCGTCCACTCCCAGGAAAATATGGGAAGTGGGGGGAAGACAAAAACCGAGAAAATATTGGAAACATCGGGAATCCTTGTGTTTGTGTGTATTCATTTGTGTGTCCCAGGGCCCCTTCAGTATCCTCACCCGAGTTTGGCCTCGTCCTGGCGTCGTCTCACGTGATCGCGGTGCGGTCGGCCGACGTCGGCCCGGCTGGGCGCGCCGAGGCCAGCCACGCGGCCGACACGCCGCAGAGCCGCCGGGACACCAACGCCTCGACGACCTCCAAGAGGGAGCCGCCGGCCCGGCCCGCCCGCGCCGTGCCCGAGGGGGGCGGCCCGGAGATGCCCCGGAGCTCCGACGCTGCAGCACACGGAGCCTGTTTTTCTGGATGCGGGCAAGTTTACTTGCATGGCGTTCGCCCCCCCCCCCCCCCCCCACCCCCCCCCCCCCCCTCCCCCTCGCCCCTCTTCAAGCGAATACTAGCGTGCAAGTGCCTTTCGACTTGCGTGATTTCCGCGCCCCCCCGAACGTGCAAGTCGTTTGCGGCTTGCTTCAGGCTCAGCCCCCCCCCCCCCCGTCCATGCAAGTAAACTTGCCAGAGTCTAAAAAAAACAGGCTCACGTCGCGAAGCAGCAGTCCCGGAGCCCCAGACCCCATCTTCTTGCTCGATGCCCGTTCTGCTGTGGCCTCCTCGGGGTACACCTGGCGGGCCTGTCCGTTTCTGGTTTCGGCTCAAGTTCGACTCCAGCTCGCCTCTGCCTCGATTCAAGGTCCACCCAAGTTCGACTCAAGTCCACGGACGCTCTACGCAGGATGGACGCATGAGCGGAGCGATGGGCCCTTGCCGAAAACCAGTCTGGAGTGGTCGAGGATGAAGCCAGAGGTCAGCTTCCTCCCCAAGAAGCTTTTGGACATGGCCTCGCAGACTCCGCCGCGTGGCCCGTCGTTTTCCTTGTGGACCCTGGGGACGGGGCCCAGCAGCGGAGCAGATACCCCTTGCCATATACTGTGACGCGTCCTGGCACCATGAAACTGTTGGTGCGCATGGTTTCATAACTAACCGTATCTGGGAATACGGATCGTGAGGGTTGTTGTCCCACTGCCGAGCGGGCCCCCCCCCTTGCCGCGGAGAAGATGGAACACGAGTCGCCCACCACTGGAGCTGCACGCACTCGCCCCAGAGCCGCCGGGCCCGGCATGGAGTCGACCACGCCGCGCACACCTGGGACGCGAACCCGGACCGAGCGGCGAGCTCGGCGACCATCTGCAGCATAGCGCAATCAATCCTGCGACCCGGTCTCCTGGATAAGGCTGGGCCGCAACCGGGTCTCCTGGAGAAAGGCTGGGGCCGCAATCCGGTCTCCTGGAAAAGTGTTCTGTAGCTGTCATGATTCGCTTTGGCCAGTTTTTTTTTTGAGCGCAGCTCTTCTTCAACAGAGTTGCAAGAACGCTGTCGCGGTTTCGAAAGTCCCAGCTGAGGAGTTGGCTCAGGGATTCATTTTCTTTCCCCGCACCGCCGGCCCCTCGGGAGCTCTGGATGCCTCTCTTCCGCGGGGCATTGTCGTAGAAGCGTCGTGGCGCCGCGCGTAGAGTAGAGACACCCAGCCTTCCCCTATTGGGTCGTTTGGGGACCTCTTGGGGGCCTCCTGAGGGCTTCTTGGGGGCCTCTTGGGGTTCTCTTGGAGACACGTTGGGCTCGTGGGGGCTATCTTATGAGGGAGGGCCCCCGACGCCCCTTCGAATTCCCCCTCTTGGGCTTCTCCTGGGGCCATCATGGGGGTCTCTTGGGGGCAATCTTGGAGGCATTTGGGGGGATAGTTGAGCCGTCTTGGGCCGTTTTCGGGCCCTCTTGGTGACCTTTCGGCCGTCTCGGGGCGATCGTGGGGTCCTCCTGGGTTGTCTCAGACGCCCAGAAGATCAGAAAGGCGAGGAAGCCAAACAGGTTGAGCAACCAAGGGGAACTCCTGGATGTTTGCTTCATGGCGCCCTCTTGGAAGATCTCCTGTGGCTCTCATTTGGCCGTCCTGGGAGCCTCCGAGGCCGTGTTCACTCCATCTGGGGCCCGCTGGGACGTATCCTGGGCCGTCCCAGGACACCCTGTGGACCGTCATGGAACTTTCCTGGGCGATGCTTACGCGCCTCCTCGTTGGGACCAGATAAGCCTGCTAGGGCCCGTTGGTTGGGACCCCCCGCTCCCAGACCAGCCGGGCCAGGCTCCGGGTGGAGGGGTTTGGGGAGGGGCAACCAATACACACGCCCACGAAACCTTAGGGGTCGGTGACTTCAGCTTGGAGTTTGTTGCAAGCACACGTCGGTAATTGACACCGCGTCTGGCCAAAAGATTTCCCTGAGGCCTGGCCCGGGCTGCTCAGCGTAATAATCGCTCTCGTGTTAGTGGCTTCGCACTGCACGCACGCTCAGTGGGCGTGGCCACATTCTCGTTTTGAAGAGGTTTGTTTCAAGACGCTGCGCGATCGTTACCAACCTGCATCAGCCCTCGCAGCAGCGATGGATGATCCCAGAGCAGGCGAAGGACGGCCGACTGGCAGCTCACGACTTCCCTTCGCCATCTGGGCGTTTCACTGGGGGCTTCTTGGAGGCCTCCTAGGTATGGGGCTTATTTGGGGCCCCGAGGTCAGCCCAAGATGCCCCAAAGTGGGTTGTCCTTGGGGAGCCCTGGGACGCCTCTGGTGTTGAACTTGTGTACGGCCGTGTTGGTGGCCTCTCTGTTTTCCTCCGAGTCCTCTTCAAATGCGAAGGAGGAGGAGGAGGAGGAGGAGGAGGAGGAGGAGGAGGAGGAGGAGAAGGAGGAGATCGAGGAACAGGGTAGAAAGTGACGACGAGAACGACGACGACGACGATGACGACGAGAGCGAGGACGACGACGACGACGACGACGACGACGACGGCGGCGACGACGACGTCGACGACGACGAAGACCACTCGCTGTGACAGAAAGGGGTCCTCAGGGAAACTGGTCTTGGAAGGCCGCGAACGGCTCGAGTCCTCCCGTGTGAACAGGCCTCACACACTTCCCCCTTTCTCTCCCACACATCTCGCGCAGTCTCCCGCCATGGATCCCCCAGCCTGATGAGGCTGGCCAAGACGCTCCGTGTGCGCCGCCGCGTGGCGCGGCGCTACTGGAGGAAGACCCTGAATGACAACATGGCGACGATGCAGCAGTTTAGTACGACACAGCGAGAATGCAAAGTTCGTAGGCTGGAACCCATATTCACTAATTAGTTTCCCTGGAAGGACCGACTCCATCAGCCATGAGTTTCGCAACCAGTACGGTATATTATGTCCTGGCACACACATTCGACAGATCGCACAGCTATCACATCATCGTGAAGAATCCCGACACCATTTCTGGATACACTGGGGCTGGGGCCGGTCCCCACATGTCACTTCCGCCTGTGGCTGCTCCATTGCGATATCTAAGCGACGTTTCTCGCCCAAGCACGTGGTCAGAATTGCATCCCCGCCATCTGATTTACAGGGCCGTGCTGGCTCTATTGATATAGTACGAGGACATTTCCGAGTTAGACTGATCGTGGGTTACCTACCCCCAGTCCCACACAGTTCAAATGCAAAGATTACGGAACGGACATGCACACGAATTTGGCAGTGGATTACAAAAGAGATCACCTCTACTCCGACGCGTATGACGCCCTTTTTTTCGGCGACCTCAACCAAGGCATGGGACGCCGCCATCGGGCACTATGTACTGACGACAGCATCGGACCACAGAAGCCCGCCCCAGAGACTACCGTAGGCACATCCATTCATGAAAGCATCATCCTTAACCAGCTCTGCGCGTATACTACTTTCTGGAATACTGGGCCGACTTTCTTCGGCAATGGCGGTGCTCGCAGCAGAATTGACTATTGGATCGGCCCGATTGACGCGTTCCCTATCATCACGAAGCTCAAACTATGTTGGCGATCTCATCAACGCCTGCGTGTCCTTCCCCACATGCTCGACCACATCCCAATGCTCATTCATGTTCAACTGACTTGCCCAACTTCATCTTCTACAGACCATGCACCGCGATGGGACTGGGCCCTGCTGGCAGCAGGACTACAGACAGGATGCCGACGCGCTGAATTTCTACGTGACCTACATCAGCAGCTCACACAACACGCACATACTCTTCGAGTTCTACAACGCGACCAGCTCCCCGACCGACATGCAGCATACGTCGCATATCTGGTCCAGCAAGCGGCGATCCCTCGCTACTCACGTCACGGAGGACATCCAGCTTGGCTCAAAGACGCGCAGCGTACACGCCAAGAGCTCCTTCGAGAACGTGCGCAACTACGTGACAAAGGTATGGCGGTCGACGGCGTCCACCTCAAGCTCATCTCTCGCCGACTCCGCGAACATGCAAAATGGAAACGGGCATGGTGGCATCACTTTCTTGACGAACAAATCATTGACGCCTACCATCACCGCGATCTTTCACGAGTCGCCGAGTTCAGCAGACTTCGTGCAGGCACTAAGGCAGGCCCGAAGGAACGTAACTATTTGGCATTTCCGAGTGTACGACCCGCATCTGACCACTACTGCGCCGCCCTCGGCAAGCCCGCTACCGATGGCGGCCTCGCGGCGGCACCTACACACCTCAGCATCTACGTCTCAAGTGACGCCGCCGCCCAGGGGCTCCACCAGCGCCCCGAGAACGACATCCACATCGTCGGCGAGTACCGCGTGGACCCCGCACTAGACTCTCTGCTCTCTGCGGCACAGGACCTCGACGCTATGGCCAAACGACTTTGGACGAATAAGCATCGCAAATATTTTCCTGTCTGGTCATGGCCTACTGAATTGACTACTATGATGTTATTCCCGACATATCTCAGCAGACCAGGACTTCCACGCAGCGGACTTGGATACGCACCCGCCGACTACCCCAACCACCACCAGCTCCGATATGGACTTGGACACGCTACGACTCACGACGACCCCACAATTCCACCACGACGCCCACCACGACGCCCCGACCAACGTCAGCTCACCCTTGGCGACGACCACGCCCGAGCCCCATGCACCATGCTCACCCGCTTACTCCAACACGTGCGCGACTCAGAAACCCTACCAGTTCAGTCCTACACCAGCCAGACCGTAGCCATCAGCAAGAAAGGCAAACACCCATGCGGAGATCCAGTCCACGACCTCAACAATTTCCTACGAATGCTGCACGTCTGTTGTCCTTTCTGGCGGCTCTATCTCAGAAGCGGATTGGTTGATTTTGGCAGTACATACACACCCCCACCATGGGCATATGGTG